TTATAGCTATTAACAGCTTCTCCATCATGTAGTAGGAAAATTTTATTAACCTTAAATATCTTTCACACTTTAATGTGAAATTCATGCGAAACGCATTTAAGATCAAGGTGACTTTTACAAGCCTTATCCAAGTCATGCATTAATATACACACGGACATCAATGCCTTGAGTGATAGACCTGAAGCTAATCTTGTATTCTGTTTGCACAGGCAGTTTTTCAATAGGTCTGACATTGATCATCTGTCCATTTGATTTGTTAACCTTATAAAAGTGATTTTATACAAAATGACTGAAGGCTTGAAGTGTAATATACAATGCCATTATACATTTTTATTTTGGAGATGGGGGCTGTCATAAGTTGGTCCTCCATATGGAGTGTTTAGATCTAGAAAAATAAAAGAGACCCCTGTTTGTTTTTTGTTGTTTTCATTTGTTGGCGAAAGCCAAATGATCTCCCAATACTTGAGCCCTAGTGCAGCTCATCTGAATGACAGAGACAATTGGATCATAACTAGTAAATCTGGGCAAAACAGCAACACATATATATCATTGGAAAAATTAAATCATCATGTCTTTGCTACTCTCTCGATGAGTGTATGATGGCATATATGCTGCATAAATCTGCTCTTGCTGGCAATGATTATGTAGGGGTGGGGGGACAGTTTCCAGAATTCACAAATCAAAGTTTTTGAGTATTTTTTTCTTTTAAAAAGGTGAAGAAAGTATGTGAATAGCACTGTTCAAAAAATAGAAGTATCCAGACAACCGTTTTCAACCAAAACAGAGATCTCCTGCTTGGCTCCTAGTCAGCACCAAGCACTGAAGAACAATAGTAAAATCCACAGTTCACTGCCCTGCAGCCTCAAATCCAAGAGCCATCTCATACCAATAATTAAAAATGCTAGAATATAGATTATCATCTATGGAAATTTCTGTCAAGTTGTTGTCATGTGCCTTTAAGATATGGATTGCACATGGTGGCTAACAGGTGCCATGTGCAATCCATATCTTAAAGGCACATGGCAACATACTGGAGAGGAAGGAGTCAAAGCATCTGCCTGCAGATTCAGTCAAGTTATTCACTACCTTCCCCACCTGTGGTGTCAAGTACCCAACCACTTTCTGTCTTTGAAGCATGCAACCCCTTCTCCCTGAGCCTTTCCAGATGTTCCTTCAGCACCACTATAAGAGGAATCACCAGACTCAGTTGCCTTCAGGAAGAGATGGAGCACTGAGACCAGCTGGGTTATGATGTCCCACTGCAGCTTTGTCAAGTGGATATGTTCAGACAACAACTTGTCAGTGACAGGCCAGAAGCCAATCCAAAAGCTAAAGCTGAGAACAAGTGGCAAGGCCATCGGATGGAAGCACCTCTCTCTAGAGCCAAGATGCAACTGAAAAAGGAGGTGCTGACTCCATTAAATAGACACAATTTGCATTAGGAGCAATGACTGACAGCCATTTAATCCAACTCTCTCAAAGAACTATGGCGGTGGAGCCCTTGCTGTTACAGGCATCCAAAGAAGATGAAGGAAATGCCCTAAATCAGTGCTTCTCAACCTTGGGTCCCCAGATGTTTTTGGCCTACAACTCCCAGAAATCCCAGCCAGTTCACCAGCTGTTAGGATTTCTGGGAATTGTAGGCCAAAAACATCTGGGGACCCCAGGTTGAGAACCACTGCCCTAAATGAATATGTGCACAAGTCTAGTAGAGACTATTGCAGACACACACTTAATCATAGACTTATAGACTTTGAAGAGATCACCAGGGCTATCGAGTCCAACCCCTGCTATGCAGGAATACACAATCAATTAATTACTCCATACACAAGACTCAATCAAGGCAATTAGCTTTCTCTTTACATGAAAGCTATGTTTCACTTCTAAATATAATAGGTTGGGCCACTGCCCATGCTGCAATAAAATCAAATCCAGATATCAAAAGTAAAAAACAACAACAACAAAAACTTGTTTCTCAGGGCCCATCCAGAGAGGTCCCAAAATGCGGAGCTTCTTGGACTTTTATTGGGGGCATCCAAATGATGCCTCTGGTAAAAGCAAATTAAGTAGGAACAAAGCAGGTAAATTAATTTGAATTAATTTGATACCCATTAAACCCGGGCCTTCCTGAAAGGCCTGGGTCTAATGAGGTATTGGGCCTGTGGGGACTGACCCCTGGGTAGTGCTGGGACTACCCAGGGGTCAGTCCCCACCGCCCTCTTGGTTTTTCAGGCTTCATGACCCTGGAGAAGTGAAAGGACATCCCCTCTCCCACCTCCCAATCATTCCTGGCCCCTTCCCCTGCCTCCTGGCACATCATTTCTATGCAACAGGAGGACTGCTGAAGTAGTGTAATGGTGGACCAGTAAGTTTTCTTTAATTTTAAGGCTGGGGTTTTTTGGGGGGGGCAGGGGGGCTTCTAGGAAAACCATGGGGTTTTTTAGGGGTGTGGGCACAGAAATGCGCTCCAAAATTGATTTTTAAAACCCCGCTTTGCCTTGCATTTCTGTCAAGTTTTTGAAGTGTTCTCAGATATCCGTTACACATTTCCAGTTCTGGTATACATTCTGTGCCAGTCAGAAAGCCAAAAAAAAAGAGAGCCCAAATGTTCTGGAAAAGAAAGCCCATAGCTTTCAAATGGAGTAATTTAAGAGGGGCGAAATCTGTCAAGAAATGTCATGAGAGAATGCACTCTAACAAGATTTGCTTCTATTTTTTTCATAATTTTTGAAGACATGCAAATAAACATTGGCTATGTGGCTATTTTGTTGTCTTTACCAAATCTAGGTAAAAACAAACATATATATACACACACAAATTTTTGGCTGGAGTTACACTTAAAATGTATCTTTTCTGACTTACTAACAAATTCAGCTGAAGAAAAAACTTAGAGTAACAGAACCTAACTTGTTCATAACTTGAGGACTACCTGTATTTATTTCATATTGTTTAAATATTGTTGACACTTTAATTGTATGTATGTTTTTATTGTACTGTAATTATTTTAATCCTAATCTTGGAGAGTAAAGAATAGTACAAAAGATGCCAAAATCAACAACAATGCAGAGAAGATTCTAGTATAACCAGGAAATATGGAAATGCAGAATCTGGGTAAATCCTGGCAGATTGGACAATGTGATTGCCCTATCCATATGACTAAGGCATTGAACTCAAAACTGTCAGATACCTTGGCAGTAGTGCAAGGAAAGGCATACAAATGCAGAGAACATACTGTTGTCCCTGCTGCCAGTTTGATAGTGATGAAAGCTTATAAGCAGTAGGATAGTAATAGGGGTAACCCTCTGTAATCTGTTCTCTCTGTGTACATGTGTTTCATGTGCATTCAGAACGATGAGGAGCTTTCAAGCTTTTACAAAACAGTATTGCAAAATGATACATATTACAAGCCAGAGAAGGGATATAATAATTAAGACTGCCATCACTGTTGGATCAAGACTAACCCAGCAATATTAATTCGCAGAGACATTTGTTGCAGTGGATAAATGTTGTACAAAATGCCCAGAACCACGTATAGTTTTGCAAGCAAGGTGAAAGTATAAAAGTGTCCAACTCTGCATCAGGTTGTTGCAAAGATATGATGGGGAAGAAGGACAGGTATCCAGCCCCAAGTCTCATGGAGGAATGTTGGGATATATTCATTTATATGTATCTGTCTGTGTGTAGAGATATTGATTCCTTGGAGCATGATATAATTTTCCTCCTTTGCAACAGTGCAAAAACACAGCATTCTCTACATAATTGTGTTGTGCTTTTTTTTCCAACAGAAGCCAACCACAGATGGTTATGTTAGAAGTCCCCCTGGCAATGGTTATGGTAATCCATGCTGATTATTTTAGAATGGGGTTTTAACCTATAATTAAATGGACATACTGACTGCATCAAGATCTTTGAGAACTTCGTCCTAATTAACAATAGCAACAAACAAATCACTCAAAAATATAATTAGAAATTATGATTAATTACTGCCTGCAGTGTTTAGAGTTAATTGAATGCAAAGAAGATATGCAACATATAAAATTTCTACTGAGAAATGACTGTATGTAACCCAATTCTCTAAAGATGTCTCCATAAGGAAAACTGGTTCTCCCCACAAACCAGGAAAACAGACAGTCACAGAGAATGTTGTCTTAAAAAATCTATTCTATAATGCAGCAGCAATAGTAATATTTCAAGGGTAATATATTTATTAAAGTATCATACTTTCTCACTAAAAAAAGAGTATATACTTCTATTTGTGTTTATCTCTATAACTGACCCCACATATAAAAATGATTTACATATAATTTCATTTGTTCCTTTTAAATAATGAATGTATGAAATTAGTTTTCATTTATGGGAAACAAGGAAATATTAACACTGAAATTATGGACCTGCATCTAGGTTTGCATCCTGTTTAGCTGATAATTATGTTATTGTGTGAAAAGAATAGCTCTTTCAACTATACAGGATGAGCTTATAGCAATTTCAGTCTAAAAATCAGAATACAATATTGTTATTAACTAGAATAAAAATTGCAACTAGTTGCTAATTACCGGATATGTTTCCTCCCATTTTACATCAACCACCTGCTGCCTATTAACAATTATTACTTTTATTTATGGGAGGTGATGGAGGGGAAGCAAAGATGGTGAATTCTGAGAATTTGCACCATTACATCCTATTACAAGACCATATTTCATCATTATTTGCTAGCTATATTGACCACAGTCCCCAGAAGCCTTCCCTGATAACATTAATGCCAAATCTAAGTGCATTTAAGATATAGTTTAAACAAACAAGCCTTCAACAGTCCAGACTGCCTCACCTGTTACTCTTTGCTCGTAAATAAACATGAGAACAGGTGCAAGCTAACATAAGGCCTAGACTTTATCCATCTAATCTGGGGATGAATGAGACAGGCCACCATCTGTTCTCCATGCACACCATAGGTAAAATATAGTGATATAATTTAATCATTTCAAACTTCAGTCGCAACTTACCCTTTCATTTCCCAGGCAGAGCATGTTTGCCTTGTTTTTCTGGGTCTCAGGGCAGATTAACTGTTTTCATTCTGAGTTGCAGCTGCAGCCCGTTATGTCGGAAGCGTGCTGTGGTCACAAAGGAAACCTGACCCGAAGGGTTTAGTGACACTGTCCAATAGTAAGGGATTGACTGAGAAGCCTGCCAGTGTATGAGACCTAGCTGAGGAGAAAATCAGACATATAGTATTGTTGTCTGGAGCCCCTTTTGGAAAATATACAAATGAAGACTTCATTCATACTCATGCTGAAAATAGACACCTTTAGCTTATATGTATATGCCATCATAACTCAACCGATAGGAAGATAACCTTTCCATCAACTTTGGAAACAAAAAAACTAATCCCCATGGAGCTGAGCCTCTTATCCTAAGCCAATTAACTATTGGCACTGTAATTTTAGTTGTGATATATACTTTGCTTCATTACTTTCTTTAATAACACTAGTGACTGGATATTAGTAACTGGAAGATAAACAATTTTTTTTCCCTCTTAAACAAAACCAAATCTTCAGAGTTGCCAAGATAACAAACTGAGAAGTTTTAACTTTATTTTTTTGTAGTAAATTTACCATTTGGGGATTTTTGAGGCATTTCAAACATATGCACATTAAAGTCTCTCCTTTTATATAATATCTATTTTTGTCAGTTTGAGTGGTTTCTTGAGATTTTTTTTGAAGTGTAGATGTCACTTATTCAGATCCAAAATGTTTTCTTGCTTTGTTTTTGATGTTCCTTATGAGATGAGGAAGCAATGCTGAATTTTAAAGCAACTCTTAAACATGCTTGTATTGAGAATAATGGACATTCACATGCCTCATGGACACGAACGTCTTCAGTGTACATGCCCAAGTGCTGTGAGCAAGGAAAGAACTCTCAGAAAAAGGAGTCAATGTGGAACAAGTTTGTGATTGCTAGACCAATAATGAACTTGAGTTGGGAAGATTCTATTCATTGCAAATAGTGGGTACATATACACCAGGGTCTCCAAACAGGCTTGTCAGTTGAATGCGATGATCCAGGGTCATTTACCTGTCCACCTTCCTAAACTGAAATGACTTAATGGTATACAACAACAATCCTAATTAACTTGACTATCTCATCAGCCAAAAAGCAGGCCCACACTTCCCATTGAAATATTGGTAAGTTTATGTTGGTTAACATTACTCTTCATTTTAAGTATCATATTCTTCTTTCATGGTTTTTTTGCACTAAAAATAAGATATGTGCATAAGAACTATAGTCCACTCCCCCCAAAAGTCTGAGGGACCATGAACCAGCCCTCTGTTTAAAAAGTTCGAGGATCTCTGAGCTGCACTGTAAAATTAACAACACTTTCACTGCCATAGCTTCATGCTATGGAATCATGGAAGTTACAGTTTATGAAGCACTAGTCCTCTTTGACAGAAAAGGCTAAAGATCATTTAAAGCTACAACTTACAGGATCCTACAGAATTGAGCCATGGTATTTAAAATGGCATCAAATTGAATTGATTCTACAGTGTAGATGCACCAAGTGACTACAAGATGAGTGATGCAAATGTACTTCATTGAAGTTTCTTTTTCTCCAGAAGCAAATATGAGAATAAATTTAATATTCCCTTTTACAGTTTTTTTTCCATGAAATCTTGCACTGGGAATAACATGCCATAGCATACATTACTTCCCCTTGCTACCATCTCCCCACTCACTACCTCTTAAGTAGGCAATTTATTCATTATTGTAGTAAAGAAAAAGAAAAAAATAAGAAATGGGGAACTTGCTGAAATATATTGGTATGTTATACTTGTTGAATGACATTCTGCTTGACAGAACTGACAGGGAAATTAATGAGATTACTTTGAGAAAAAGTATTGCTCACCATGAGCAGTATTCTTGGTCGATTTCCAAACTAGGAAATGATGGGCAACACACCACTTATTTATATGAATGGTTTGAAACTCCTGATCTTTGTCAAGATTTTCTGGATTTGCTGGGCATTTTTTTTCTTGAGCAATATTCCCAAATTGTGAGATAAATCAATAGATTGGATCCAGGCCACATGAATGAACTTTGATTATATTGAAATCTAAATTAAAAAATCATCTTGATATAGATTTTCAGTATTGTCATTGAATACTTTTACACATCAGAGGTGATGTGCGATAGATAAAAAAATGTTTCAAGGGTCATTACTAAAATTGGGGGGCGGGGGCGGCATTTCATTCTAAAGTGTTTCTAAAGTATTGTTGAAGGCTTTCATGGCTGGAATCACTGCTGTTTCCCTCTCCCAACGGCAAGAGGCCATTAATTTAAAGTGGAAAGGCAGCCTTTTGGCTTTGTTTTGCTTGCCTAACTTTTACCTGAGGAATCCAAATGACGCCTCAGGTAAAAACAAATTAATGCAGAGTTAACCAGGTTTCCCCAGTTTACTTTGCATTAAATGAACACTTCTAAAGATCCGGAGCTTAAACTAAGGTCTGGGTTTTTATAGGTGACGGCCCATCTGCAATCCCAGGGATCAGTCACCACAGCCACCCAGCTTCTTCAGGATCTCAAAACCCTGGAACAGCCCCCCATTTCACCCCTAAAATGTACCAGAGAAGCCTTTGGGCAGTGTAGGCTCCTCTCTACAGTCCTTCCGACATGAGAAAATTGGATGTTAGGTGGTAGTGGGGGATTTCTCTCCTCCACCTTCCCCCAGACCTCCTGTCATCATTTTCTCACATCAGGACTGTACTGCCTGCAGGCATCTCCAGTAACTTTTGGGAGTAAAATGAGGGGCGGGATGGAGGCTGGATGGCATCCTGGGTCAACCTTTGTTTGACCCAGGATGCCATCTAGCTACTCCTCCCAGGAAAGCCTGGATTTTGGATTGGGGTGGGGACTAGAACCTGAGAGGAAGCATGTTGCTTTAACCTGACTCTTCTCGGATTTTAGCATAGGATAGAAGGGCCTCAGTTATTAGAATTCGGATCAAAGGGCTTCCCTCATTCTGACATGGTAAGTGTTGCTTTCCTTTACCCACAGCTCAAAAACTTTCCCATTAATTCCTGGAGCCTCAGAAATAACTGCTCTTTGGGGCTTGCACACTCTGCCTGATGTATGGTTTCTATGACTTGACCATTTAATGCAGTTCAGAAATGATTTTACATTTCTGCTTGGTAAAAAGAGGGAAAGAATAAATGACTCATGGATTCCCATTTGAGGAAAAGCATAGAGAGAGGAAATCATTTCTCAGACTGTCAAGGCGAGAAAAGAGAGATATTCCAGCAAAAAAACTTGAAAAAGATATGTGACTGGTACAAAACAATTAGAATTTTAGAATTACATGTAAGTATTTATGCCTAATTTTATGTTAATTATCTGGGAATTTTTCCTGATGAATATGTATAGTGGGTGGTTCTATGATGTAATTCTGTTTTTCATAACCAATCAATAGAGCTTTCATGTAAATACACAAGGATATATATTAAAATTTAAGTTCAAATTGGGGGGGGGGCGCGAGGCAGGGCGGACAATACATTAGGAAACTGTTTTGCAGGGTTTTTTTCCATTCTGTAGAATGCTAAAATTAAATGTGATTGATTTCCTATATTTGGAGATTTTTTATCCAAAAAATTTAAAGCATTTGAATAAATGTTTCCAAATGCATATAATTATTTGTGCATTTGCTTAATTTATTAGCACCTTTCCACCCACTGATTAAAGTTCATTTATGAGGTTTTCTCTCTCTCCAACAGTGCATATTTTGAAGTGAGTGTACTGTTTTGTTTGTGGTTAATTCCTCTGAAACAGTTCATAAGTCTCTCAAATGAGTGAATTCTAAACCAAAATGCATTTCTTCTTGCAACAAGACTCAAAAGGTGTGAAAAGGCTATTTTCATCAAGACTTCAAATGCTTTTCCATCCCTCCTTTGAAGGCCCATACGTACAAAACTCACTTAACATTCTGAGTCAAAGGAAAGCATCTCACAGAAATACTACTAAATTCAGAATACATAGGAGCATTTAGAGTTAAACAAATTCATACATTGAACTTCAGCATCATAATTCATTGTGATTGATATCTATGTGGATTTTCAATTTCTTAATAGTTCAAGGTAAATTCTAATTATGAGTGAGAACAAACTTGATTTTTTTCTGAAGTCTTGCTCATACTGAATTATTATCCAGAACACTATGTTTCTTGCATCTTATATATATATATATATAGAGAGAGAGAGAGAGAGAGAGAGAGAGAGAGAGAGAGAGGAGATGCAAATCCCCCACCTCTCCTCCTCCCATCCCATCCCCCATCTGGGTCAGCTTATTTTAATACTTTGATTTAATTGTTTGGATGACGTGGTTCAAAATTCTGTACCTGTCATTTTCTTCTGTTTTGTTGATTAAACAATACCGTTTCTTATTCCAATCTTGTTTAGAATTACTAAACTATCGATATCTAAATCTATATCATCGATATCTATATCAAAAAAATCTATATCTATATCTATCTGTTTATATATTATATATTATTATCTGTAGAATCATTGGAAAACATAGCCAACCATGTATGTAATCATTTCTAATCACTGTAAAAAATAACTTTTCTATGAAATTCCTTGGAAATTTCCCAGAATCTGAACTCACCTTGCCCTTGCCTCACCCTCACCCAGAGAAAATCACCATAATCCTCACACAATGTTTTAGGAAGAATGGGAGAGGGACATGCAATGAATTTGAGCCAGAGCCTTTTGGCTTTCTTTATCTATCTTGCATGATATAGTCTAAGGTAGTCTAGGAATGTTCCCTTTTCCCAGATCTCTGTATCAGCTCACTGAGGAGAGGTCTATTGACTAATCAACACCTGGGAGTACTCCATTGTGTGTTAAGATTAACTCTATTGTGTTTACTAGAGCCAACCTATTAAACCCATCATGGACTCATTTCCTAATCCCAACCATCAATGATGTCCAACAGAGTCCTGAGCCACTCAGGATGCAGGTACTAGCTGGGTGGTTTCTGAGCCAATCGGGAGCTGGCACAAGTTTCTTGAATAACTGTCAAATGAAATGAAAATGCTCTGTATCTGTAGTTGTGATATGTCAGTATTTTGGAATGCTTTTCTGCTGTCATCTGCTCTGGTCACTGAGAAAAAAACCTCTGTGTTGCCTTCTACCCTTCTATGTCTCATTTGGGAAGCTAGACATAGTTTTTGTCTGTGGGATTTTTGAGAGTATGGTG